ACAACTTCATAAGGCGCAGTAGTGGCATGCTACGCGTTCATTGTTCATATCAAAGAATTTCTAGCTAACAGAGTATTTCACACATAAAACGTAATGGATAACAGAATTTTACTATTTTTTGTTAGGAGATGTACTGCTGATGTTATTAATATATTACATTAATTTGAAAATTTTTGGCTAACATCTATAATTATGATTGCTAAACAAAAAAAAAATTTTTCAATCATGAATTCACTTGATTCACAAGGGTAAACCCAACCGAAACCTGGTCACACAGCAAAACGAAATTATTAATCGCCATTTAATAATTAATCAGGTCAGCCAAAGTGTCATGCTTTTGCCCAACAAAAATCACATGAAGCCAGTCAGTCAGTTTCGATGACGTTAATCCTTTGGAATGGCTGAGACAGTGGCATCAGACAGTGTGTCATTGAACTGGGCCAGCGCCTGAGTTTCGGCAGAAGGTAACCTGACTCTGGAGCATGGTCCATCGAGACACCTGCCCAGGTGATTCTTGGCGTACCAGAGAGTCTTTGCAAGGTCGCTCGATCATTCAAGTACTAGCTGTTTAGCCTTCTTTTCTGGAAGTACTCATAAAACATGGTCAGCTGTGGCTTCTCACTCTGAAGAAACAGCGGTTGTGCATTGAGGCTCTCTCAGATACCTGAACTCCATATCGTGTCGAGCAGGGTGATCCAAGCGATTCGTCTCAGAGTGTACATTTTATCCTTTTATATCCGGGGTCGAAAGTCTTTAATCATGGCCTACGACTAATGACCGTAATTGAGCATGGGGATGGAGATCGACTTGAACATGGCAGCTTAGGCTTCAGACTCAGCTCTGCTTTAGACACAACGGTGAGGGCTACTCCACGCGGAACAGCGCTGACCATTCTCTAATTCTCCGGTCGATCGCTTCCTATTATTTTGCACCATCAGTAGACATGACTACGGTGTAGATGAACTATCGTGCACATGTTTAGCGCAAACAGGAGAAGGCAGAACGTACCCTTGATGGAGATCATTGCCGATGTTTAGAGATATCAACCTGATTCCATTGCTCTAACGCAGCACCTCCATATGGTAAGTGAATGACTCGTAACAACCGGCCATGTCGATCACGTGTTTCTGCAGACATTCCCACAGCTTGAAGATATGAAGTCATATTTCATATTATTTCTCACCATCTGTCGCAATGTTAGTTGATGATATTGAACGCTTTCCTTTTCCCCTTCTCATCCGCGCCTAACATCGTCTGCATCATTCTTCCGTCTTTCATACATCAGTGTTTGCACGATACAATTGTCACAACCGTATCTACTTGCTAAAATGACGTTGTTTTTTCACATTATGATGTTCACACCAGACTGCTGCGAACTTTTCACTGGTATTCCTTTTAGTGAGTCCTGTGCAAAAGTTTAAACTCTACACTGTCGAAACTTAGGCAATCTTCCCTCATATTTCATGAGCTCTGCGTGCGATTCTTTGTTCGGTTAATATCATTCGACTGATTGGGTGCAAAAATAATGGACTCCAAAAAAGGCATTCCAACTTAAAAGAACTTTTGATATACATAACATAATTTATTAAATGAGTTATGTGTAAGATTGCAAGACGATTTGTTTTTCAGTACTTTTTGTTGTTGTTATAACCACTTCCTGTTATTTGTTACTGCCTAATATTTCCTATTCATAGCCCCAATGCTTTCAGCTACTCAGAAACTTGCACGTGGAATGAAATGCGCGGTAATCTAAGGAGTGACGTTCTTTAAGAGCAGATCTGATTTATTGATATCCTACCGAATGAACTGAGTAGTGTAATGTGTTTTGTTGTTTGTTGCCTAGAAATGAAGGCAGACCTAGATATTTCCCCATTTTATGAAATTATAAATTTCCTTTTTCTTAGGATTTTGGAATTAAATTGTAATTAATAAAAATACCAACCAGTGGTATTTTGCGGTATACGATCATATCATTTTGCCCTTATAATACTTCATAATGTGCTGAACACATATACAAGCGG